TTGTGCTGCTGGCATGTGCTCACCCTTTCCTGACTTCTGCTTTTTTTTTTTTTAATTATATCTATTATTTATTTTTTGAGACAGAGTCTCACTCTGTTGACGGGTTAGAGTGCTGTGCATCAGCCCAGCTCACAGCAACCTCAAACTCCTGGGCTCAAGCAATCGCTTCTGCTCAGCCTCTCAAGTAGCTGGGATACAGGCATGCCCAATGCCTGGCTATAATTTTTTCTATCATATTTTTTAGTTGGCCAATTAATTTCTTTCTTCTTTTAGTAGAGACGGGTCCCTCTTGTTCAGGCTGGTTTCGACTCCTGACCTTGACTGATCCTCCTGCCTCGGCCTCCACAGAGGTGCTAGGATTACAGGCATAGCTACCATGCCTGGCAACTCTAGCTTTTTAATCTGGCTCACTTTAGCTCTTTAAGTCTCAGGTGAGCCATGAGCTTTTAGGAGAGCAATCCTGACCTTTTTGTTAATCTTTAACCCATGCCTAGCACTTTGCTGGACCAGTTAATTATTGAGTAAAATCGTTAAGACTGTGTACAAACATTTTTTGAAGATGCCCTGCCTTCTAGGAGGCAAGGGCAGAGACATAGTAAATAGAATAATTCATAGTTCGAGTGGTAAAACACAAGATCAAGACGAGAATAAGAATGTTCAGCAGCCCCGAAGTAAGGCTGCCGTTCATTTGGAGAAGAGCCAGAATCCAGAGACTACTTCAACATAGCATCTGAGTTAACAAGATGCACAGGAAATTGTCAAACTATTAGAGGAAACTTTTGATTATAAATAAGGAGCAGGTGTGTAACTAAAGCGGTAGAAAGTACAGTAATTTTTGGCAAACCCATGAAATAACACCACTTTGCATGTATTTAAAAGTACATAATAGTAAATTATGGATGCTTAATTTATATGATATATACTGTATTTACTTTGTTTTTTTTGGTGTTTTGTCTTATATGTTGGGTTGAATTTGTAAGTGACCTTGGGAGTATTGTTGCCTTAAACTGATGACCTTAGTGTCCCAAGGTGGTTGTTGGTTGGATAATTAAAACATTTCTTCATTTAACTTTTCCATTGTATAAACATATAATTTTATTTAGATCTACTTTAATTGACGACTATAGCTTGTATCTAACTGTCTAAGTAGTTCATTTAAACTAGATGTATGGGATTTTCAGCAGAACAAGGAGGAGGGGATCACATTTCAATCTTGTACACATGAATATCCAGTTTTCCAAATATCACTTATTGAATAGAGATTCTTTTCCCCGATGTATACTTTTGTCTGCTTGTTGAATATTAGATGACAATATGAGGATGGTTGAATATCTGGGCTCTCCATCCTATTCCAAAAATCTATAAATCTGTTCTTGTGCCATTAAATGCTGTTTTGGTTACTATAGCTTTGTAGTAAAGATTGAAGGCATCAGACTGATGCCTCCTCATTTGTTCTTTTTGTTTAAGATTGCTTTAGCTATACGAAGTCTTCTCTGGTTGCAGACAAAGCATAGAGTCAGTTTTTCTAAATCTGTAAAAAATTATGGTAGAAATTTGATAGGGATTGCATTAATTCTGCAGATCACTGAAGGTAGAATGGACATTTAAACAATATTGATTGTATCAATTCATGAGCATGGTAGGGATTTCCATCTCTGCATCATCTACAATTTCTTTTCTCAGTGCCCATAATTTTCCCTATACATATCTCTCAGCTTGTTCTTTAAATATACCTAGATATTTAAGTTTTTTGATGCTATTGTTAAAGGTGTTGTATCTTTGATTTGATTTCTGGCTGTCTGTTATTGGTGTATATGGATGCCACTGATTTGTTTTCATTAATTATTGTATCCTACGACTTTACTGAATTCATTTATAAATTCCAAGATTCTCTTGGTTGAATCCTTGGCAATTTCTGTGTATAATACCATATCATCAGTCAAGAGTTAGAGTTTGACCTCCTCTGCCCCCATTCACACATCCTGAATTCCCTTCTCTTCTTCGATTTGTCTGGCAATATTTTCAAGCAGTATGTTGACTAGAAGTAGAGATAGTTTACAACCTTGCAACCTTGTCTCTATCCATTTCTAAGTGGGAATACTTTCAATCTTTCCCCATGCAGTATGATATTTTCATTGGGTTTCTCATATATGGCCTTAATAATTTTAAAGAATGTCCCATCAATGCTTATTTTTTTAAGGGTTTGTATCATACAATTGTGGTGCATTGTATCAAAAGGCTTTTTCTGTGTCTATTGAGAGAATCCAATGGTGTTTGTTCTCGGTTTTATTTACGTGGTAAATTACATTTATAGATTTGGATATGTTGAACCAGCCCTGCATCCCTGGGATAAAAGCCCACCTGGTTGTGGTGAACTATTTTTGTGATGTGCTGTTTGATTTAGTTTGCTAAAATTTTGTTGAGGATTTTGGCATCTACATTCATGAAGGGCATAGGTCTTTCATTTTCTTTTTTTGCTGCATCCTTTCCTGGCCTTGGTATCTGGGTGATAATGACTTTGTAGAATGATTGGGGAGGATACCATCCTTCTCAATGCTTTGGAATAATTTCTGCAGTATAGGTAGGAGTTTTCCTTTGTATGTTTGGTAAAATTCAAGTGTGAACCTATCTGGTTTGGCCTTTTTTGTTGGAAGATTTTTTATTGCTGCTCCAATTTCTGGGCTTGATATTGGTCTGTTTAGCAAATCTATTTCCTCCTGATTGAGGTTAGTGACATTTTGTGCTTCCAAGAATTTTTCCATTTCCTTCAGATTTTGTAGTTTTTGGACATATCTGAACTTTACAAAGATGAAACAGTTCCTTCTCACAGGTCACCTGTATTTTAACTTTTAATTATTTCATCATATTATTGTTATACTGATGATTTTAACCCAATCAGATACTCTGAGTAGGAGGCTTGGTGTGTGTGTGTGTGTGTGTGTGTGTGTGTATGGTATGTGTGATTATTATAAAGGAGGAAAGTAAGTAATCATTTCTTAATGACAATTTGGTAAAGATAGTGTTTTCAACAGCAGTTCTTAAATATCTTGCCCTTTGGGACCTGTGATAGTAGTGACACTAACTAGAGAAACTAATGAACACCCACAATTAGGTGTTTGTCATTCCTACGAATATTCAAACCTTGTGAATACATATGTGTATGGTCAGAAATGTTATGTAGTTTTGGTTTTCATGTTCTAAATTTTTATATAAATGGTTAGACACTGTATATATCGTGATAAATTATTTTTGTTTGGGCGGCATTATATTAATGAGGTCTATCCATATTGACACAAGAAACTGCGGTTCAGGGAATTAATTAATTACAGACAGGATCTCTCTCTGTTTCCCAGTCTGAAGTGCTGTGTCTTCGTGATAGACTTCTTCAAATTTTATCTACTGCACTTGGTCAATCCTCTTGCCTCAGACTCCCAAGTACTTGTAACTACATTAACACGCCACCATGCCCCACTAATGACTATACTTTTTGTAGAGGTGATGTTCCTCTATGTTGCCCCGGCTTGTCTCAACCGCCTGGCTGCAGATGAGCTAGGATTATAGGTGTGAGCCCCACACCCCTCCTAATATTCTCCTAATGAGCTATTTCATAAAAATTCTGAAGATACTTGTAAGATAAACCAAAACAAACTGGGTTTAGAAACAAAACTTACAGAGTTCATTCTTTCAATTCCATTATTCCTATCAGTAAAGTTTGCATTGAGTTTGGAATATAAAAATCATGATTAGCTAATAATTCATTGGCTATTTAATTTTTTGAACAATAATTCAATACTGAGTGGTTAGCATACATTATTTCTTAGATGTACTTTGTATATGGTTTTGCATCTGTGGCTGAAAAAACTTTAAGATTCTAACGTTGAAGAAATAAGAAATGTGGGAATTCCGGTAGCCCATATGTGTGTGGGAAAAAGAAATATTTGTATGAACTATTATTGTGCAGTGTATGTCTGGGCTGAAAAGTGGACAACAGTGTCTCTAATGTGAAATTGATTATACATTCACCTGAAGTGTGTTCACATCTGTGTACTTCTAAAAGTATAAAAGAAGCTGAGGAACATGATCAATAGTTGTAGTGAGATGATATATATGATCCTGATGAGTTACATTAAAGATACCCTGCAGCCTTCTGCCGTTAGATTTGACCGTTATACTCTCAGGGTCATCATTTGTTTCTTGGAATGAAGATCACTGTTTTCTTCATCGACTAGCATGTTCATATTGGTATAAGTGCACATTTCTATTTCAATTAAAGTTACTTGAAAATTAATCTCACTTTTGAGATCTTGACTTCATGCTATAGAAAACCTTCCCCTCTGGCCGGGCGCGGTGGCTCACGCTTGTAATCCTAGCACTCTGGGAGGCCGAGGTGGGCGGATTGCTCAAGGTCAGGAGTTCAAACCCAGCCTGAGCGAGACCCCGTCTCTACTATAAAAATAGAAAGAAATCAATTGGCCAACTAATATATATATATAAAAAAATTAGCCGGGCATGGTGGCTCGTGCCTGTAGTCCCAGCAACTCGGGAGGCTGAGGCAGTAGGATTGCTTGAGCCCAGGAGTTTGAGGTTGCTGTGAGCTAGGCTGATGCCATGGCACTCACTCTAGCCTAGGCAAGAAAGCAAGACTCTGTCTCAAAAAAAAAAAAAAAAAAAAAAACCTTCCCCTCTATGTTTCATCAGCATATTGCCCTCATGTTGCTGTCCTAGCAGTAAAAAAAGAAACAAAAGCTAAGGCCACCATCTGGGAGATGGACAGGCATGAAGCTCTGATGAGAGGAGAGAGGGGGGCCAGGGTAATATACATAGCCTTAACATTTGTACTCTCATAATATGCTGAAATAACAAAAAAACTCTTACCGTTTTCAAAGCCATGTGTGAATAATCAGATTGAGACTAAGTTTTTTATGAATGTGCGGTAGGCTTTGCTATGTTTACATTTATATAATCATTAGTGTTAATTGTATGTCCCTTTTGCTTTTTAGGGGCTTCTGAGAAACAACCTCCCTTGAAGGTAATAACATGTATATTTATCTTGATTTATTCACTGCATGTTGTATGAAATATAGATTATTTATGAAACACTTTGTTTGCAATCCCATTCAGCCAACCACTGAAATTAAAGAATCTGTTCCAGAGAGAGCACTAGGAAGAAAGAGCATACAAACTTTCAGACTAGGTAAATACCTTTTTTTGAGAAATAGAATCTCACTGTATTATCCAGGCTGAAGTGCAGTTGTGCAGTCATAGCTCACTGCAACATGGAAGTCCTGAGCTCAAGGGATCCCCTGCCTCAGCCTGTGGAGTAGCTGAGGTATGGGCTCCTGCCAGCAAACTGAAGTAATTGACATTCTTTTTTTCCTGTAGAAACCTGGTCTCGGCATGGCTTACAAGCTGGTGAGAAAGGCCTGGAGCCAAGGCATCCTTCCCCTGTGGCCTACCCCAGTGCTGGTTTTCTCGATGGGATCCTCGATGCTGAGCTCATATCAAGTAAATTTTGTAATGCAAATTTTGGTCTGGAAGAATTACAGTAAAATGTAGCAATGCTTGGAGTCTACTCATTCATAGTTGTTTTTCTCAAATTTGATGGAGGCATTTGGAGAAATAATGCAAATATTATTATCTGTTTCTGTATTTGAAATAAGATGTTTATAAGCATAGGAAAACAAATTTTAAAAACCTATGTTTTTGCTCATATGTTCTATACATTTATGTTCTGATCCGCTAAAGGTCCAAATTTAGAATCTCAGTACTTGCTAGGGAGTCCCAGAGTGAAATACGACACTGCAATTATTCCTGTGTTTCCAATGCTTGTTGAAATTCTTTTTTTTTTTAATAGAGAATATTCTTTTTTCTTTTTAGTCCTTTTTCTCTTTTTAAATCAGGACATTATAGGGCTGTTTGTTTCTATTTCTAAGCGGGAATGCTTTCAATTTTTCCCCATTCAGTATGATATTGGCTGTAGGTTTATCATATATAGCCTTAATAATTTTAGGGAATGTCCCATCTATGCTTATTTTTAAGGGTTTTTATCATAAAAGTGCGGTGCATTGTATCGATTGCTTTTTCTGTGTCTATTGAGAGAATCCTGTGGTGTTTGCTCTTGGTTTTATTTACGTGGTGAATTACATTTATAGATTTGGGCATGTTGAACCAGCCCTACATCCCTAGGATAAAGCCCACCTGGTCGTAGTGAATTATTTTTTTGATGTACTATTGGATTTGGTTTGCTAAAATTTTGTTGAGGATTTTGCATCTACATTCTTGAAGGGCTTTGGTCTGTCATTTTCCTTTTTTGCTACATCCTTTCTTCACTTCGGTAGCAAGGTGATACAGGCTTGGTAGGTTCAGTTGGGGAGGATACCATCCTTCTCAGTGTTTTGGAATAATTTCTGCACCATAGCTATGAGTTCTTATTTCTATGTTTGGCAAAATTCAGGTGTGAACCCATCTGCTCTGGGAATTTTGGGGGGGAAGATGTTTTATTGCTGCTTTAATTTCTGTGCTTGATATTGGTCTATTCAGGAGTTGTCTTTCCCCCCTGATTGAGCTTAGGAAGATTGTGTGTTTCCAACAATTTGTCCATTTCCTCCACATCTTATAATTTTTGGACATATCTGATCATTACCAAGAGAAACCATTCCTACCCACCTGCCGCTTGTGCTCTAACTTTTAATTATTTCACCATATTACTGTTATACTGATGATTTTAACCCAATCAGATATTCTGACTAGGAAGCTAGGTATGTGTGGGTGTGGGTGTGGGTGTGGGTGTGTGTGTTATGTGAGATTATTACAAAGGACAAAAGTAACTAATCATTTTTTAATTACAATTTGGTAAAGATAGTGTTTTCAACAGCAGTTCTTAAATATCTTGCCCTTTTGGCCCTGCGATAGTACTGAAACTAACTTGATAGAATTAACCAACACTCATAATTAGGTGTTTGCATTCCTACCTATATTCAAACCTTGTGAATACATATGTGTATGGTCAGAAATGTTATGTAGTTTTGGTTTTCATGTTCTAAATTTTTATATAAATGATTAGACACTGTATATATCATGATAAATTATTTTTGTTTGGGCGGCATTATATTAATGAGGTCTATCCATATTGACACAAGAAACTGTGATTCAGGGAATTAATTAATTACAGACAGGGTCTCTCTATGTTTCCTAGTCTGAAGTGCTGTGTCTTCGTGATAGACTTCTTCAAATTTTAACTACTGGACTTGGTCAATCCTCTTGTCTCAGACTCCCAAGTACCTGGGACTAGAGTAACACGCCACCAAACCCCACTAATGACTATACTTTTTGTAGAGGTGGTGTTCCACTATGTTTCCCAGGATTGTCTCGACTTCCTGGCTGCAAATTACACTTTTGCCTTTGTCTTCAAAGGATCTAGGATTACAGGTGTGAGCCAGCACACCCATCCTTATTTTCTGTTAAAGAGCTATTCCATAAAATTCTTAATATACTTAAGATATACCATAAGGAACTCATTTTAGAAACAAAACTTAGAGTTCATTCTTTCAAGTCCATTATTCATATCAATAAATTTTACATTGAGTTTGGAGTATAAAAAGTCATGATTAGCTAATAATTCATTGACTATTTAATTTTTTGAAGAATAATTCAATATTGAGTGCTTAGCATACATTATTTCTTAGATTTTTTTTTTTTTTTTTTGAGACAGAGTCTCGCTTTGTTGTCCAGGCTAGAGTGAGTGCCGTGATGTCATCCTAGCTCACAGCAACCTCAAATTCCTGGGCTCGAGCGATCCTTCTGCCTCAGCCTCCCGAGTAGCTGGGACTACAGGCATGCGCCACCATGCCCGGCTAATTTTTTATATATATATCAGTTGGCCAATTAATTTCTTTCTATTTATAGTAGAGACGGGGTCTCGCTCTTGCTCAGGCTGGTTTTGAACTCCTGACCTCTAGCAATCCGCCTGCCTCGGCCTCCCAGAGAGCTAGGATTACAGGCGTGAGCCACCGCGCCCGGCCAGATGTGTTTTATGTATGGTTTTCATGCGTGGCTGAAAAAACTTTAAGATGGCTAATGTTGAGAAACAAGAAATGTGGGAATACTGCTAGCCCACATGTGTGTGGAAAAAAAGAATATTTGTATGAACTATTATCGTGCAAGTGTATGTCCGGGCCAATCAATTGACAACAATTTCTCTAATGTGAAGTTGATTATACATTCACCTGAAGGGTGTCCATACCTGTGTACTTCTAAAATTAGAAAACAAACTGAAGACCATGAGAAATAGCTGTAGTGAGAAGGTATAAATGATTCTGATGAGTTGCATTAAAGATACACTGCAGCCTTCTGCCATTGGCTTTGACCTTTATCCTCTTAGGGTCATCATTTGCTTCTTGGAATAAAGATCATTGATTTATTCATTGACTAGCATGTTTAAATTGGTATAGGTGTACATTTCCATTTTAATTAAAATTATTTGAAAAGTAATCTAACTTTTCAGATTTTAACTTCATGCTGGAGAAAACCTACTTCTCCATATGTCATCAACATATTTCCATCATATAGCTATCCCAACACTAAAAAAACAAACAACAACAACAAAAGAAAACAAAATGAAAAAACCTTACCATTTGCAAAGCCCTGTATGAGGACTCAGACGGAGACTAAGTTTTTTATGAATGTGCGGTAGGCTTTGCCATGTTTACATTTATATAATCATTAGTGTTAATTGTATGCCCCTTTTGCTTTTTAGGGGCTTCTGAGAAACAACTTTCCTTGAAGGTAATAACATGTATATTTATCTTAAATTATTCACTACATATTATATGAAATATAGATTATTTATGAAACACTTTGTTTGCAACCCTATTCAGCCAACCATTGAAATTAAAGAATCTGTTCCAGAGAGAGCACTAGGAACCAAGAACATACAAACATCCAGACCAGGTAAATACCTCTGTTGAGAAGTAGAATCTCACTGTGTTATCCAGGATGAAGTGCAGTTGTGCAACCATAGCTCACTGCAACATGGAAGTCCTGTGCTCAAGGGATCCCCTGCCTCAGCCTGCGGAGTAGCTAAGGTCCATACCACCAGTTTGGTGGCTCCTGCCACCAAACTAAACTTACTGTTACTTTTTTTCTGTAGACAACTGCCTTTGCCCTGTTCTACTAGTTGGGGACAGAGTCTTTGACTCGAGGCGTGTTTCCCGTGTGGCCTCTCTGAGTGTTGATTTTGTAGGCATAATCCATGGTTCTGGGTGCAGATGGGGTGAATTTTGTAGTGCAACTTTTAATCCACAAAAATGAAGATAAAATACTTGAAATACTCTCAATCTTCTCATTCCTAATTTTTCTTTCTGAAATTTTATGAAAGCATATAGCATATATAATGCAAATGTTATTGTTTGTTTCCATAGTTGAAATAAGATGTTTATAAGCATAGGAAAACAAATTTGAAAAAGCTAAGTTTTTACTCACATGTTTTCTACTTTTATACTATGAGCCTCTAAAATTTCCAGTTTGGAATCTCTGTTTTTGTTAGGGAGTCAGAGAGTGAAGTATGAGACTCTGCAATTTTTCCAGTGTATCAAATGCTTGTCAGAATCTGATCTTTACCTAGGTGAAGGCTTTACTCTCTTAAATGGGAATTGTGTTTTAACTTTATTTGTTCATTATGTTGTTGTTATGATGATAATTTTTAGTCAATTAGATGTTCTGATTAGGAGCTGTGTGTGTATGTGCTGTGTACTTATTATAAATGCAGAAAGTAATTAATAATTGCTTCATGACAATTTGGTAGACACAATCTTTTAAAAGAGTAATTCTGAAAGTTTTTGGCCTTTGGGTCCTTTTATACTATTAAAATTTATTGCATGGAAGTAGCCATCACCAAGAATTAGGTGTTTATCCTTCCCATGCACTTTCAAAACTTTTTACTACATATATGTATGGTCTTAATATTATGTAGTATTTATTGTCATGTTCTAAATATTTATGTAAATGTTGTACATTGTATATATATTCTACAGTTTGTTTGTTCTGCATTTTATTACTGAGATCTACCCATAGTGACACAAGAAGCTCTGGTTTCATTAATTATTTCCTTGAAACAGGGTCTCGCTCTGTTGCCCAGACTGGAATGCAGTGGCCGCGTCCTTGCTCAGCACAACATCAAACTCCTGAGGCCTTGCAATCCTCCTGCATCAGGCTCCCAAGTTACCGGTGCCTCAGTGACATTTCTGAATGCTCAGGTGAGTTTGTACTTTTTTTTTGTAAAGGCAAGGTCTCACTATATTTGTCAGGTTAGTCTCAAACTCCTGGCATGAAGCTGTGCTCCCGCCTTGGCCTTCTCATTGGTAGAATTACAGTATTGATTCATAGCATATTGCCTGATTCAGTTTTTTTGAGTTTTTCATAGTATTTCTTTTTTTTTTTTTTTTTTTTTGAGACAGAGTCTCGCTTTGTTGCCTAGGCTAGAGTGAGTGCCATGGCGTCAGCCTAGCTCACAGCAACCTCAATCTCCTGGCTCAAGCAATCCTTCTGCCTCAGCCTCCCAAGTAGCTGGGACTACAGGCATGCGCCACCATGCCTGGCTAATTTTTTTCTATTAATAGTAGAGACGGGGTCTTGCTCTTGCTCAGGCTGGTTTCGAACTCCTGACCTCCAGCAATCCGCCCGCCTCGGCCTCCCAGAGAGCTAGGATTACAGGCGTGAGCCACCACGCCCGGCCGATAGTATTTCATCTGATCAAGATACTACCTTTAGTTGACCTATACAAATGCTGATGAAATGATATATATAAATATATGTAAAAATATACAAATTATTATGCACTCCAAAGAAAAATGTTAAGTGGGTTGTATTTATTGATATTTACTACGTTAGAAATTAAAACACAAGGCCCAGATTTATACATTTATTTTTTCAGTGAAAATGAATTCTAATCTGAGCACTAATTTTTTTATCCTAAATATTTCTGGAAACATTCCTTCATTTCAGGCATGCATCATCTTTATTTTGAAATATTGCCTTCTAATTCATCTCTATGTATTTATTCATATGCCCTTGAAATTCATCCTCCCCACAGCATTTAGAGTGATCTATCCCCAGTTTAAAAAGGACCATGAACCACTCTTTGAGACATTAAAATTCAATACTTTAAGATTTCATAGAAGTTTTCATAGTCTGATTTCTTCCCAACTCTCCATCTTTAGCCCTTTCTTCCTCTGGCATTACTATACTCCTAGGAATGCCCTCCTTATCCATCCATTTATGTTAGAGAAATTCATGTGCTCTTTCAGGCTTCTCCCCCTATCTTGCTGCTGCCTGGCATGTGCTCACCCTTTCCTGACTTCTAGCTTTTTTTTTTTTTTTAATTTATCTATCTATTTATTTTTTGAGACAGAGTCTCACTCTGTTGACCGGGCTAGAGTGCTGTGCCATCAGCCCAGCTCACAGCAACCTCAAACTCCTGGGCTCAAGCAATCCTTCTGCCTCAGCCTCTCAAGTAGCTGGGATTACAGGCATGCACCACCATGCCTGGCTAATTTTTTTTTCTATATATTTTTAGTTGGCCAATTAATTTCTTTCTACTTTTAGTAGAGACGGGGTCTCCCTCTTGTTCAGGCTGGTTTCGAACTCCTGACCTTGACTGATCCTCCTGCCTCGGCCTCCACAGAGTGCTAGGATTACAGGCATGAGCTACCATGCCTGGCCAACCTCTAGCTTTTTAATCTGGCTCACTTAGCTCTTTAAGTCTCAGGTGAGGCATGAGCTCTAGGAAAGCAATTCCTGACACCTTTTTTTAAATGCTCTTTAAGCCCAGTGCCTAGCACTTTGCTGGACTCAGTAATTATTGAGTAAAATAGATAAAGACTGTGTACAAACATGTTTTGAAAGATTGTCCCCTGCATTCTAGGAGCAAAGGGCAGAGACATGTAAATAAATAATTCATAGTTCAGGTGGTAAAGACACCACAGTAGAGAAATCAAGAGAATGTTACAGCAGCCCCAAGTAAAGAGCTGCCTGTTCATTTGGGGAAAGAGCCAGAATCCAGGAGACTACTTCACATAGCAGTCTGAGTTTCACAAGATGCACAGGAAATTGTCAAACTAGTAGAGGAAAACATTTCAGATATAAATAAGGAGCAGGGTGTACACTAATAATGCGGTAGAAAGTAACAGTAATTTTGGAAACCATGAATAACACACTTTGCATGTTATTTAAAAAGTACCATAATGAAGTAGGAAATAGTATGCATGCTTAATTTATATGATTATACTGTATTTTTACCTTTTGTTTTGTTTGTGGTGGTTTTGTCCATTTATGTTGGGTAGATGAATTTGTAAGTGAACCTTGGAGATGTTTGCTTGCCTTAAACCTGATGACCTCTAGTGTCTCCCCAAGTGGTTTGTTGAGATTTTGGATAATTAGAAACATTTCTTCATTTAAACTTTCCATTTATAAAATAAAATAAATTTTATTTTAGATCTACTTTAATGAAGACTATAGCTTGTATCTAACTGTTCTAAGTAGTTCATTTAAACTAGAGATATGGATTTGTCAGCAGAACAAGATATAGAATTGACACTAGAGGAAGAGCAACAAAGCCTTGAAGGGAGTGCAAATAACCAGCCAGAGGTATGAAAAAAAATTAAATTTCTGGTTTCATATTGTTTTCTTTATATTAAGAAAATTTGGCATAGTCCAAATGAAATTACCTTTCAGACTAGCCTTTTAGAATCAATAGATCATAATTTAATATTTAAATATAGAAAGATTTAACTAATTATAAAGCTTAAAACATTCTTAAAATTTATAATAACTTATACCTAATCTTTACTCTTCGAATAGAAAAACAATTTCTGGAATTTTGTTTGCTCTTTCATTTTTATAACTTCCTTACAGGATAAGACGGTAATAGTAAATACTGAATCATATCATTAAGCACTAGAGATGAACAATTTCACAGTGAAGAACCACTGAGTTTTATTCAGTTAAAAGTGAAATCATTTTACTCTTTTACAGTGGTTCAAAATTTGCCATTTTATATTGCTGGTCCCTAATGCCATGGTTAAAGATGTACTCTGCCTTGTGGTGTCTAATAGACTTCAGTGTGTACTGTCAGGGAGAGAATTGGGGAATTGGGTCACTAAATCCACCCACCTGCCCATTAAGAGAATCATACCTTGCAGAATGGGACCTTTGGTGTTAGGGTAAAAACAATAACTTTCTAACTTATTTAAACATAGAAATCAGTAAATAATATCAAAATTATTTTATCCGCTGTCATGAGTGGAAATTAGAATGTATTTGAGCTGGACATAAGGAGATAGTTTTCTAGAGACATAGCACCATCATAATAATCTATATAATTTGTGTAGTTTGAATTAAAATTTAAGAATTTGCTTTTCTTTCTGATTGATGTTGATTTTGTCTCCTAATAATGTAAAGTTTATCTATTCCCCAGTTAGAAACAGTTGTACTGTGAGGGCTCACTATTAAAGGTATGGGAAGGTAAAATCTTTTTAAGAGAGGAAGCTTTGTAATACTAGAAATCATCTGCTAATTCACTTTTGGTAGTTTAACAAATAATAAAGTTTATTTCAAAGAAACAGTGATGAAGTTAAGTTTATTGGTTTATGTTTTTCTCCTACTGTAGGTTAAGGGAAATTATTTTTCACTTCTCAGTTACAATCCAGTGATTTGGGAGTAGCTAAACATAGATTAAGAAGTTTAACAGTTAAATTTTATTATTTGCTAATTTTCTTTGCTCATACTTGATTAACTAAGGATAAATATATTTTAAAAGCTTGCACCCTGACAGAAAAGACATCGGAGGTGCAAAACAAGCAAAGTAATCTTCTACCTTTGCATCTGCAGAAATGTCTCAAGAACAGGAAATTTATAGGGCTTATAATTGATAGACTATATCTCTATGTTCTAGACTTTTTTGTGTGCAAAAGTATGAGAAAATGTGGATTAATCAAGGCAAATTGGAGTGGAAAAAATAAATTAAAACTCACAAATTAAAGTAGAATTTGGTGGAATTCCTGAAAAACACTAAATTTATGGTCCTGAGGAATAGTTGCTGCCTGATAAGCATAAAGGAGGAACAAACTTAAGGACAGACCCTCTAATTTGTCAAATAATATGTACTTGATTATGAGGAAAAAGGTACACCTGCAATGTCATCCCTGTAGTAGTCTAGGTATTTCCTGAACAAAAAGATTCCAGCCTCAGACATATCTTTCCATCTCATTCATACTATTTGTCCCTGGAGTATGCATGCCAGTCATCCTCTAAGCTTTATTTAAATGAAAATAAATTAAATGGTGAAAATGATAACAGACCAGACACTGAACATGTTTTTAACACAGATGACTAGGATTGCCAAAATGATACAGAAATTAAAAATCAAGAATCTAGAAGTAGTTACAGTTGAAATGAAAGAAGACTAAGAGTTTGATATACAAATGCCAAAAAAAATGAGCCTAAATACCACTAATTGAAAAGTAGACATCAGACATATGCCTCAGTCTAGTGACCCAAGAAGCCTGCTTGATTTGTGGCTTAGCTGCTGCAAGCAGAGAAAGCATATGATTCAGATAAAAAGACACAGTATTTCTGCTGGTACAAACACTTACAGGGAAACAAAACCAATGCAGAGCTTGTTCCCAAAGCCCTTACATGATAGCAATACTAATAACTATAAAAGCAGGGAACTAAGTTAGTCAATGTGAGTTCTTTTCCACCACACAGTGACAGAACATCAGACATATATCTCAAAGAACTACAGCAAGATATTCAAAGGTTTAAGAATGAGGGAGGCAAGAATGGAAAAACAAGCACCACATATACTCACCAGCAAATTGGTATTAACTGAACAGCACCTAAGTGGTCACATAGGTACTACAGTAATAGGGTATTGGGCAGGTGGGAGGGGGGAGGGGGGCGGGTATATACATACATAATGAGTGAGATGTGCACCATCTGGGGGATGGTCATGATGGAGACTCAGACTTGTGTGGGGGGGGAATGGGCATTTATTGAAACCTTAAAATCTGTACCCCCATAATATGCCGAAATAAAAAAAAAAAAGGCATAGTTACTTAACATTTTGTAACTCAATGCCCGACAAGTATCTATTTAAAAGTAACTATTAAATGCAGAATGCCCAGGAATTATACTTTAATTTGAATATAAATTATGAATTATAAATGTCTTTGCTGCTGTAAAAAAAAAAAAAAAAAAAAAAAAAAGAATGAGGGAGGCATGTTACAAGTAGAGTTCCTGGCTTTGGAGAAAGAAAAATTTCAAAGTGCCCATCAATACATGAGTGGATTAATAAAATGTGATATATGTTTACCCTGGAGTACTATTCAGCTATAAGACACAATGGTGATCTAGCACCTCTTGTATATTCCTGGATAGAGCTGGAACCCATTCTATTAAGTGAAGTATCCCAAGAATGGAAAAATATGCACCACATGTACTCACCAGCAAATTGGTATTAACTGATCAACACATAAGTGGACATATAGGAATAACATCTATCAGGTGTCGGGCAGGTGGTGGTGGGAGGGAATGGGTATATATACATAATGAGTGCGATGTGCACCAACTGGGGGATGAACACACCTGAACCTCTGACTCGAGGTGGGGGCAAGGGAAATACATGTAACCTTAACATTTGTACCCCCATAATATGCTGGGAAAAACAAAAAAGAAAAATAATAAATCAGGAGTGGCGGCAAAAAAACCCCACAAAAAACAAACAAAAAAAACATGTAGAGGTTCACTCGCTGCTACTCTGTTTTTTCCTGCATCAGTTGTCTGATCCAGTCTAATTATCTACTTACGAAAAGCTCATCCGCAAAATGAGGTTCTCTAAATATGTAATTGTGTGCGGAAATAGATGATTTCTGTTATCTAAATCATAAAAGTTCAGGAAAATATTCTCATCATCTTTGTTTCCTAATCAACCCAAGTCTTCTCTGCCAGTCTTCCAGGTAGCATATGAACTAGGAAACTAATTTAGCCAAATTCCATGTGACCTTCTTAAGCAAGATAAGCTTTAAACAAATTGCTTTAAAAGTATAATAAGCTTTAGGTGTTTTTATTCTTTCAACTTAAAGATGAACTGCATTTATTTAAACAATAAAATGAGAATACAATGGGGAAGAAGCAATGACTGAGAAGAGATATAAAATGTGTCTAGCCTTGAAAATTGCAATGATTATTCCCAGCCAAACAACTCTTTTTACTGTGATTTTGTGTGTGCAAGTTTACCTATTTAATCTCAAACCGTTGGAACTTATCATTTCCTCATGACCACTCTAAATACTTTTGACAACAAATATATATATATATATATATATATATATGCATTTCCATATTTTTAAAAAATCACTCTCAAATGTTTCCATTGAATCAGACCTCTACATTATGCTGTGTAATGAAGTATGGTAAGTTTTGGCATGTATGATTTTGTCATATAAGTGGTATGTAAGTAAGTAGTCCTCAGCCAAAAATTCAAGATTTGACTCCAGAATAGAAAGCAGACTTCTGTACATGGAGTTTTAAAGACAGATAACAATCTGGAGATGCCCTTCTTCCAAAGTGAAAATAGATGAGGCTTCTCATGCCCCGCTAAGGCATTAAATTATTTTGCCAAAGTCATACTTTTAATTTATCTGATGAATTTATCTGGTAATTTATCTGGCTCTGCATTATGGAATTGTATCATCTTTTTTGGTGCGATAAAGTGCTAAGAAATGCCACTTGAGTAGGTTTGGAGGAACCATTTAACTTGTTTGGTTTTCCTACTTTTATCAGTAGATGATGGTGCTAACGTAGATAATTACTTATACTGTATATCCTCCAGCTATAAAAATTGATGGTTATTGAATGCAAAATTTGGGAAGCAACTCATTTTCTGGAATTCTACACTAGCAACTCAGCGGTTTTGCTGTGCTCCTTGTGGCAACTTTGGTGCCTATATTTCAGTGAGGACCTTCACCTCTTTGATATCCCCAGATCCAAATGAAAAAAGAGTGATAAAAAGCAGTGGGGAAAAGAATGGCTTAGTGCAGAAAGGGGAAGCCTCACCATGTCACATCCTTTATATCTTGCTGTTTAATGTAAATCTAGGTGGTAAAGACAGAAGACAACATTTTTGTGTCTCTCTCTTTTTATTTCTCTGATTCTGCCAGTTAAATAGAAATTCATATTAGAGAGTGAAGAGTGGATGGGCATAAAACCACAAAACTAAGAAGGGCTCTTTTATTTTGGAAAATTCTGTTTTATTCACTCCTACAGAAATGAAGCAGACTTTACCAAAATTTCAATGATAAAATTATAAAAGATATAATTATATCTTATAATTATATGATAATAATTGTATATAATGATAAAAGTAAGCACAAAATCTTTTACTGACTAAAATTACGACAGTTAAACTGGGTCAATTGATAAAGCCAATGAAAAAAAAAAGGTTTCTATTGCTTAAAGTAATAACAGTCATCCTTAGTATGAAACTTTCCTTAAAGGCTGAAGGAGGGAAGCAGCATGAAAGTAATGAGGTGGAAACATTAGAAAGTCTACATGATGGTGACGCTGATGACAGTGATGGTGATGGATCAATTCCACAAAGAAAGAGTCAAACAATTGATAATCAGCATCTTGCTGAAAAGGACAATGAAGAGTCTGATAGGTAAGCCTAGTGCAATGTTTAACAGTAGGTCATTTTATTGCACTTATAAAACTCAATGTAATCTGGGCTAATCTTCATGATTAACAAATTTTATGCTAGGGATATTCAGCCTTGTCTCTAATTAGAAAAATGGAAATATGCAAACAGTGAGATACCATTTTTTCCAATCATATTGCTATTTTATAGAAAAAATAATGACCGATTTTGAGAAATGTGAGGAAAAATGTATTCTTATACACTGCTGGCAAATAAAATAGATAAATACTTGTTGAAGGGTAATTTAGCAGTGTGTATCAAAATTTCAAATATGTCATTCCTTCAGCCTAACAGCTTTACTTCTGGGACCATATCCTACAGGAAAATGACTTGTGTAAACACACACACACAAATTCACATTTTAAGGATATTTATTCTATCTTATGTATAACAGTCAATAGGCCAATAGATATATAAAATGTTAATACATATAATATATGCTAAGGATATATATGTATGTTAATGATTATCATATAAAAATTTGGAGGTAGTCTAAATACCCATCAATAAAAAAATAATTAAATAATCATACCCATAACATAATGTGATATGCACCCATTTTGTAAAATGAGGTTAGATCTATAGTGTACTGATTACTGCACAATTAAAGTCTATTTAAAGCATTTAGTTTGATGATATATCTTGAGCAAATTTCATTAGAATTCTTGTAATATCTCCTGAGTTGCAAAAGGAAACTTCATGCTACCTTGCAACTCTACCTTGTGACCAACAAAATTGCTAGTTAGTAAATTTTTTTTTTTTTTTTTTTGAGACAGAGTCTCGCTTTGTTGTCCAGGCTAGAGTGAGTGCCGTGGCGTCAGCCTAGCTCACAGCAACCTCAAACTCCTGGGCTTGAGTGATCCTTCTGCCTCAGCCTCCCGAGTAGCTGGGACTATAGGCATGCGCCACCATGCCCGGCTAATTTTTTATATATATATCAGTTGGCCAATTAATTTCTTTCTAGTTATAGTAGAGACAGGGTCTCACTCTTGTTCAGGCTGGTTTTGAACTCCTGACCTTGAGCAATCCGCCCGCCTCGGCCTCCCAAGAGCTAGGATTACAGGCGTGAGCCACAGCACCCGGCCGCTAGTTAGTAAATTATTGGTTTGTACTCTCAATGCATGAGTGCTTAAATATTGAACTCCCAAGTTAATCTAAATATTGACAAGGGATTGCACATGGGATCCATATTTCATAGAAACATTTCAGTATATTGGGTAAAACTTACTACAATACATCAAAGGATCTTTGATATACTAAACCAGGAGTTGGCCAACTTTTTCTGTAAAGAGCCAGATAGTCAATATTTTAGGCTTTGTGGACCATACAGTCTCTGATGTGTAGTCTAAAATCTGTCATAGATGATAACTGAATGGGCGTGGCTGTGTTTCAGTAGAAGTGCCCACTCAGGCAGGCAGTGGGCTGGGTTTGGTCCATGAGCACTAGTTTGTTTGGCCCCGTGCTAAAACCAAGGCGTTGCAAATGCAGTGAACCTGATTTTTAAAGGTACCTTGCAAACAGGCCATTATTCTTCCCTTTAAAAGACAATTCATTTCAGTATGCACCACAGCATATTTTCCAACAGTGTCTTCATTTTATATAATCTAAAAAGAAATTAGTTTCAAAGTAAGATTCTTTCTACATATCTCCCCGTTTATATTCCTGTTGTAGAATTCAGTAATGGAATGTGATTAATTACTTTGTATATTTGACAAGTATATAAATCCTAGACTTGGGTGATTTTTATCAAACAAGAAATATACTGCTCATGAAGCATTTAATGTTTTTTTAGTCTTTATTGATAAGCATGAGCCAAATGATAATCAACTTATAAAATATGGAAATATTCAAGGGGTCTTTTAGTTGTATAATTTTATAAATTTAGTCTTTAATACCTTGGTCTGGCATTTTTTAAAATGCCATTTGAATATAATTTAAAATTCCTTAGAATATTAATATATACTACATAAATATTACATAAGGACTGAAAAGTACAGCTACACAGGAAGATGGTGAGATCATCTGTGATGATGCCACCTAGGTGTGATGGCCTTGAAAGGACTATAGGACTACATGGACATGTAGTTCCATGCTCGCAGGCTCAGACCTCCCATCCAGTCTTTGAACTCACTCTAGTAACGTTCACTCCCACTGCTCCTCCCAAATTGCCTGTCTCAGGGCTACCACTGATTTTCATTTTCATAAATCTAGACATGATTCCATAGACTTTATTTTGTTGAACCTACCAGGAATATTTCAACCAATGGGAAAATCTCTCCTCCATAATCCTTTCTTCACATGGATTTCAGGATATTACTCAACCACCTGGTCTTTCTTCCGTCTGTCTAGTCCATCCTTCCTAGTCTGTTTTGTCTGCTTCTCCTCATCACCCACACATGGAAGCATCCCAGGACTCCGTCCTTAATCTCCTTTCTCATGATTTTTACTACCTTGTGTTTGCTAATGATTTCCAAATTTACATCTCTAACTCAGATCTCTCTCCTTAAATCCAGACCTATATACCTCCCTTCCTACTTGACATCTCTCTTTAGTTAGCTGTTGGGTATCACAGACTTACTAGGTCCAAAACTGAGCTACTGATGTTCTTCCTTATACCTCTCCCTGGTGCAGCCTTGTGCCAATGGCAGCTCTTCCAGTTGCTCTGTCAAAAACTTTGGTGTCATCCCTGACTCATCTCTCTATCATATATCTGACACCTAATTGGTTGGCAAATCTTGTCAGGTTTACTCTGAAAATATATTCAGAAGCCAGTGACATCTTCTATATCCAAGCCACTGTCATCTGCTGTGTAGGTGAATATAAGGGACGGCTGATTGGTCTTCTTGTTTCTTCTGTTTCCAATGCTCTTTCCATCAATTCTTACCGTGGACCTGGTAAAGAAAGCGTGAGTCAGATTATGCCATTCCTCTGCTTATACTTCCTAATTGCCTCCCCTTTCACTCAGAATATGCCAAAGTTCTTCCTGGTACCTGAAAGGCAGTGCATGATGTGACCCTGTTATCTCTTTGACTTAAACTTCTATTTTTCATCCCTTTCGCTCTCCTTCAGCCACACAGAAATTCTTACTATTCCTTAAACACTCCAGGCTCACCTCTGTACTAGGCAGTTCCCTCTGTCTGAAATGCTTCTGCCTCAGATCCCTCCTGGCTTGCTCCTTCCACTCCTTCACTTCTTTACCTAAAAGCCACTTTCTCAGAAAGGCCTTTTCTGGCCATGCAAATAGGCCCCCCAACTCTCCCCTCCCAAACATAAATATTGCATTTTCCTGCCTTAGTTTTTCTCTTCTAACATACCGTACACTTTTCTTCTCTCTTCGGTTTATTATTATTATGTGTTTACTTCACTCTCATGAATAGGTTTCTTGTCTGTTCACTGTCATATCCTCAATGTCTAGAAAAGAGCCTAACAGGTAGTAAGTAGCTTTCTTAATAAATATTAATTCAGTTAGTGAATGGAGTTCACGCTGGGTGTGTTAAATATTAGACTAATTTTTGCTAATAAAGCGCTTTGATGTGGGTTCATTCTGATGATTTTACCTGGCCATTATATGCATTTTTTTTGTTTCTTTGGCTGTTTCTAAAACTCTCTATTCTCTATATTAATGTTTTTCCATTTTAGGAGAGAGTCCCAGTATTGTGGTTACTCGTTATTTATTCTTATACTGGTAATTATGATAGTTTTAATTATGTTTACATGGACTAAGGGAATTGCAATGTTTATTTGTATTTTATTAAGAAATACACAAATGTAAGCATGGCAAATTGAATGGACTTTAAGAATTCTTTCCAAAGGATTATGAACCTTCAGTATCTGATATCAAAAGCCACAGTTGGCATGTCTTGCTTTCTATAGTAAGAGAGCCATGCTGGTCAGGCACAGTCTCTTGCGATAGAGCAGCTGCTGATCTTCTGTGGGGTTTTGAGAAGAGTGGAGTTTAAGGGTTGTCAGACATTCAGAGGCATAGGTGGGTTGTGCGTAGCAGCGTGCGTATTTGAGAGAGACTGCTGTTGATTGCTTCGCACTTCCACACACGTTTATTGCAGTGAGCTTGTCCTCTCATTGGCTGTCTTTCAGAAGCAAGTGGCTGACATTGATTGGTTGGTGAGTGAGGCCAGTGGTCATTGATTGATTGATTAATTGACTAGATTTAAAACTGTTTCTGGGTGCCTCCTTGTTAGCATGGCTACAGGTCAGTCCTTTCTGAAGTCTGAGGCAACTTTAACCAGATGTTTTCTGCTTAAAAATTGCCTCCCATCAGCTATGTTCAAAATGAAAACTATCTTTATTGCAGAATTGTAGGAATATTTTTGAAGTTTAGATCAAGAGGAATTGCTTAATAATTGGTCTCAGGAAGATCTCTATTTTTTGTTAAAGATGCTTACTCTTAACAAAAGAGTTATATCTACCTAAGTTTTCATTTGTAATTAATTATTAGCTTTGTTTTTGGTATTTTTAGTATCTAAAAATGCTCAACTCTTAACATAATAACCTGCAGTGAGAAATTTCTGTCTCTGTAAATGTATGTATGTATATGATGGTGATATTCTCAGGAATGTGTTTACTCCATAAAAAAACTAATTATAGGGCTGGGCATAGTGGCTCATGTCTGTAATCCTAGCACTTTGGGAGGTCAAGGTAGGAGGATTGCTTGAGCTTAGAAGTTCAAGACCAGCCTGATAAAGAGTGAGACCCCAACTCTACTAAAAATAGGAAAAAAATTAGCTGGGTGTGGTAGCACCCACCTGTAGTCCCAGCTACTCTGGAGGCTGAGGCAGGAGGTTCACTTGAGCCGAAGAGTTTGAGGCTTCAGTGAGCTATGATAATGCCATTGCACTCTAGCCTAGGTGACAGAGCAAGACTCTGTCTCAAAAAAATAAAAAAAAATAAAATAAAAATAATAAAAAAATAAAAAAAGTAATAATTTTCTGGTAAAACCAGCTTTTTATGTTAAGATTGGATACTAGGCTCAATGTGTACAAAAGTTATCAAATTATTTTATTTTAAAAGAAAATTATAGCTAACTAAAATATTGCTATTCTTGAACTGTATATAATAACATATAGGTATTTTAAAAGTGAGAGGTTTCCCCCTAGGGATATTTTTCTCTCTCTTCTTTCATGTTGTGCATCATGTTATTTTAAAAACTTTATTTCAATTAAATATTATCTTTTAAAAAAATAAAACCAAAAATATAGCGCAGATCTAATTATTTCTCCCAAGTCAAAGAGGCAGTGAGCTTCAGCCTTTTAGTGTAACCTCCAGTTTAGTGTAGCATTCATCTCTCAGATTTGCTTCCACATAGTCCACACTTTCCCTTTCGAGTCCCTAGGAAACACCTGGATGCCGTGTGCCTTCTCTTTGTGCTCACACTCTGTTCTCTAAGTAGAATGGTTTTCTTCCACTTCTTGGCCTGGTGAGCTCTTCCTCTATTTTGCCTCTTCTGTGAAGCCTTCCTTGTGCCCAGATAGAACTTTTCATAGATCAACTCTTACACATCACATTGTATTATAATTGTATATTTACCTATTTTGGGAAGCAGGGGATATTTGTTTCTTTGCATGTTATTTGTACTTCATAACTATTTCTTTTTTTTTTTTTTTTTTTTTTTTTTTGAGACAGAGTCTCGCTTTGTTGTCCAGGCTAGAGTGAGTGCCGTGGCATCTGCCTAGCTCACAGCAACCTCAAACTCCTGGGCTCAAGCGATCCTTCTGCCTCAGCCTCCTGAGTAGCTAGGACTACAGGCATGTGCCACCATGCCCGGCTACTATTTTATATATATATATCAGTTGGCCAATTAATTTCTTTCTATTTATAGTAGAGAACTCCTGACCTCGAGCAATCCGCCCACCTCGGCCTCCCAGAGAGCTAGGATTACAGGCGTGAGCCACCGTGCCCGGCCATAACTATTTCTTGAATTAATAAATGAAATGAAGAAGTGTTAGAATTTTACAAATATTTTTTTTTATTATTTGTCAGTAGAATCATTAGAAAACATTTGCTTTTTTCTGCGTTTTTAAAGTAATGGTCCTGCCTTGCATATGAAAGAAGTAAAGAAAAATGAAAGTAAACAACAGACATCAGAAGAATCTGCAGTGACACCAGTGTTTGAGAAGGCCAGTGTACCAACTGGTGGTCTGCTACCAATGAATGATGTCAGCAGTTTAAGTGACATAAATGACAAGGACAGACGGTAAAATCTTTAAGTTCTTTATTTCCCTGTGAAGTTATGTTAGAAGTGCTTACTTTTTCTGATCCTAGAATAGTATTGTCTCAGCCAGAGAATACTCAGCCATACCAATGCTGCTGAAAGGTTGATTAAGATGAGGATTAACTAATTTGAAAAGGAACAGTTTGAATAAATATTCGCCATGGAACTCTGACTGTAGTGGGTAAACATAAACAACTCTGGAGAGAATTTTTCATGGGAAAGACAATAGAGAAATGGGGGATAAGTAAAAAATAAAAGAAGAATGTGTGATTCAAAGGAGGTTTTTGTTGTTTTTTCATTTTAAAATAGAAGTTTTTAGAGTATGTTTGTGTGCTGTTTTGAATGATACAGTAAAGAAGAACATGTTTATGAAATTTTGTTTACATGTCTAAGCATTAGAAAAATTGTTGTATTATCTTTTAAAAATTTATGGTAAGCTAATTGTTCTTAGAACTTCTATTCATGTATAGTTTTCTGGTAAAAGGTTGTTCCTTCAGAATTGTTCTGAAATGAGATAGTCTAATGTAATTGAACATGCAAATGGTAACTGAAACTATTTAACATAAGTTTTTTAAAAATGATCTAATAATAAACATATGGAGACTTAGGCCATACTGAATAGGATGTAGGCTTTCCTTGATGATTTTATATACTATAGTATCTTTGGCAGTAGAATCATGGAGAGCTATGATTTTGTAAGGTATTCTAAAATATTAGGTATGTCAACTTTATAGTTGGTTAGATTCTGGGGAGAAGTGAAGGATTTCACTTATGTCCAATAGAAAAGCAAACTATTTCAATCCCTTGCAGATTATTACTTTTGGATTATAAAATTCTAAAGTATAAGAACTCTGTATCAGCAGTGTCATTGGCATGTATTGTGTGCTCAATAAGGATTTGTTGAATGCATGAGTAAACAGTTGAATACATGAATGGTGATTTCTTTAGAAAGAATGGATGTTTAGTTTATTGAAAGTAGGTTTCCAAAATTGCTTAGGTATAAAGTCTTTTTATGTTAATAAGAGTATTTGCAAACTTAGGAAATAATTATTCATAATTATAGCCACAAATGGAATGATTACATGGATTCATCAGCTGTCATATCACTGAAAACAGTTGAAAATATTATGTTCAAAGCATATTTTGAAACACATGTTCTAGAGCTAGAATTCTTGTGTTTGGATTCTGGGCTTGCTACTGACAAGCTGTGTGGGCTTGGGCAAGTTACTTTGCCTTTCTGTGCTTTTTTTCTTCCTTTATAAAATGCCTCATGTACTACCTACCTCATGGCATTGTGGTAGGGATTAAAGGAGTTTAACATGCGTATGGTGCTTTGAAGAATGCACAGTAACCACATAGGGCATCCTGAAAATGCTAACTAATATCATCATTTTAAAAGGGTTTCCCTCATATAAGGTGTTAATAAGCAGTATTCTTCCAAATAGGTTTTAATGCCAGCAAAAGCCTGTTTTTATTGAAAAGCATAAAAACAAAAACCCTGGTATATTTCTTTCTATCATGTAATGCAATTAACATGATTTTTTTTTTGTTTTGACTATCTAAAAGCTTGATCTCAATTTAATTCTTTGTTATGTTATTTGTAGTAGGAAGTTTTCCTTATCCCTTGTTGCTCTGTTTATATTTATTAATGGTTTAATCCTCTTTGTAAAAAATCATTGTATTTTACATTATTACCTGTTAAAAAAAAAACCCTGTAAACTTTATGAATAGGAGAAATAAGAAACGAATGCAGAGATTTTATATAAAAAGCAATAGTTTTAGATAATTTTGTATTTTATATTTTTACTATTTGTCTGAAAAGAAATTTTTCTTTTCTTAGGCCTGCAAAGAAAACATCTTCTGGAAAAAAGAAGGTATTATTAAAAATAAATTATCAAAACTATTATCATAAAAATACATTATAAAAGATAAGGTAAAAAAATAAAGAATCTTTTGTTGCAAAGACATTTACTTTGAAAAAGTATTTAAGGAATAGTAACCAGAGATAGATATCCTTTTTACAAAATCAATTCTTTGAAGAAGTACCTGTGTTTGTTCACATAAAAATGGATAATTACCAATTTTGTACATTTAGTCTATGCTATAATTATTTTAGGAACATTTTGAAATAATGTGACTTATTTTATAGGAGAAAAACCAAATACATTCTATGGATGACCTTGATGACTTAACTTGCTCATTTGAAATAGCCTCAGAGGATCATGAACTGCCTTCCTTTAATTATGAGAATTTTACTTTGCTTCTTGAACAACATGCAATGCATTGCAAAGGTAGGACCATCGTATAAGGCCTTTTTCTGTATCTTATAGTAGTGTATACACACATTGCTTAACACTGCATCATAGAGCACTGATGTGTTACGGTGATGTTTATCTCATAAATATGCATTATGTTACAATAGAATGAGAACTATGGTATGTTGTTCAGTCTCAGCCAAAGAGCTATGATAGTTCCACTGTACTTTTCCCACTGTAAGTGGCACTCCCCATCTTCTTGCTGACTCTCCGTTTCTCCTGTGCCTTTACCCAAGGTCAGGTTATCATCATACCCCACCTGGAATGCTGCAGTATCCTTAGAACTGTTTTCCTTGCTACCCCTCCTCCTGAAACCATGGTCTCCTCTGTAACCACATCCTATACTTTTAAAGATTCTTATCTGATCTCATTACCCTCTTGCTCAAGACCCAGCTACCACTTCTCATTGCTATAAGGTTAAAGATCTCTGTCCTCTAGCTTTGTCCTATATCCTGTCATACCCTTCTTTCTCTCTGTGTCCCAGCCACTGTCTTAGGTGTTTGTTCCTGCAGTTAGTAGCTTTAATGAGGTATAATTGAAATATGATAACCTGCACATAGATAAAATGTACAATGATGTGGCCCGATTACAGGACAGGGAATGATACAGAACATAAAATAACGACACAGACACACATGGACATGACAATGACTTGAGTGACCAATGCACTGGTCGCTGTATTTTTATACCCCCCAGACCCAAGGTTAGTTCCTTGTACATGAGCATCTGAGCATAGCAGTGATATCAGCCAATTCCGGAGTTGTTTCAAAAGGGAACAATTTCCCATGGTCTCAGACCTCAAAACGGTTACTAAAGTTAAAGTGCCAGACAGAGCTCAAAAGCCAAGGCTAAGATAGGCAACATAAAACAATGCAGCCATTTGAAGTGCTTCTTGGTCTCGATCCTAGGCAGTGGCTCCTCCCTGGCCCCATGGTTGTGCCTGTTTTAGGTCGCCCCCCCCCCATGGGGAGTCTTACCCGTCATTGACTACCAACCATCAGTCGGGTGCCAGTTCTTGGGAGAGTTCTTGTTCTTGTTCTTATGGCCTCCAGACTCCCACCACGGGGGCCCTCGTGTGGGAGTTGGGAGCATTTGCTTATGTGCAACAACTCAGGCCTCTTATCAAGTCACAAGGCAGCAACCGTGTCTAAAGAAAGTGCTGACTACTGCTGCATCAGACAGTACACGGACATTACAGACTATAGTGAATGATTAGTATAAGACATAACACCAGAATCAGCCCCCAACAGTACAATGTGATAAATTTTGACCTATGAATGCATATGTGAATCCATCATCATAATTAAGATAATTAATATGTCCATCACCCACAGCAGTCTCCATGTGCCCCTTTATAGTTTCTTATTAAGAAATGGCTAACCTATTTTCCAGAGTTTCCAAAGACACTAAAGAGAGTATATTATAGTTTCATTTTCTCTGTATCATCATAAACGCTTTGTGTTATCATTGTTTAAATTTTGTTGCTATTCTGCCTGGTGTGTATTGTGCATATCATTATGGTTTTAATGTGCAGAAATTACCCTAATGACTAATAATGTTGAGCGTCTTCCCATGTGATTATTTGTCATCTGTATATCTTCTTTGGTAAACTATCTTTTCAAATCTTTTGCCTTTTAAGAAATGATGCCATTTGTTTTCTTATTTGTTGAATTTTGAGAGGTCTTTCTATATTCTGGATACTGTTTCATTATTAGCTGTGTTTTTCACACAGCTAATATTTCTAGTTTGTGGCTTGTCTTTTCCTTCTCTTAATAGTATCTTTTGAAGAACAGAAGTTTTCAATTTCAATGAGGTCCATTTATCTTTGCATTTGATTAGGAATTATGCCTAGTCATAGCTAAGAAATCTTTGCCTAGTGCAAGGTCACAGAGATTTCCTCCTATGCTTTCTTCTAGAAGTTTGATAACTTTTTCTTCCATTTAGATCTATGATCCATCTCAGGTTCCTTTTGACTTATGGTTTGAGGTATGGATTCAAGCTCATGTTTTGAAAATGGATATCCTATTCTTTCACCATATGTTGAAATGGCTATCCTTTCTCCAATGAATTGCCATGTGCCTTTGTCAAAATATGTTGGCTGTGTATGTGTGGGTCTGTTTCGGGACTCTATTGTGTTCCATTGATCTATGAGTACTTCTCATATCCTGATAAACCTATCATAAGAAGCTGAAAATACATTTAATGTGCCAATAAACCCATCATAAAGTTGAAAATTATAAGTCAAACCATCTGCAGTTGAAGATCATCTGTATTTGGCTTTCATTATACAGTTTGAGCATCTATTTTCCAAAAATGTGAAATTTGAAATGTTCCAGAATTTGAAACATTTTGAATTTCAACATGACTCCACAAGTGGAATATTCCACTCCCAACTTTATGTATAAAAACTGTTTTATGTACAAATTTATTTAAAAATATTATATAAAATATAAGGCTATGTATATAAGATACATATAAAATGTAAGTGTATTTTGTATTTAGACTTGGGTTCTATCCCCAACATATCTCATTATGTATATGCATATATTTCAAAATCTGAAAAAATAAAAAATGGAAAACATTTCCATTCCCTCACACTTCTATAAGGAATACTCCAACTGCACCCGAATCACACTGTTTTGATGACTATAGATTTCTAACAGTTCTTGAAATCAGCCCTCCAATTTTGTCCTTTTTTAAAAAGTTATTTGGGCTGTTCTAGATTCTTTGCATTTCCACATGAATTTTAGAGTCAGCCTGTCAATTAAAAAAGAAGTCCTTGTTGACTTCCAGGAATTAGATCAGGATTGTGTTGAATCGTAGGTCAATTTGGGGAGAATTCACATCTTCACAATAATGCATCTTTCCGCTTGTGTAGGTCATATTTCATTTTCTCAGTAATGTCTTGTGGTATTTAGTGTATAGGTTCTTCCCTGTGATATCAGACTTATCAATATTTCATTTTTGATGAAGTTGTAAATGATATATTTTTTTTTTTGAGACAGAGTCTCGCTTTGTTGCCCAGGCTAGAGTGAGTGCCATGGCGTCAGCCTAGCTCACAGCAACCTCAAACTCCTGGGCTCAAGCAATCCTCCTGCCTCAGCCTCCCGAGTAGCTGGGACTACAGGCATGCGCCACCATGCCCGGCTAATTTTTTCTATATATATTAGTTGGCCAATTAATTTCTTTCTATTTATAGTAGAGACAGGGTCTTGCTCTTGCTCAGGGTGGTTTCAAACTCCTAACCTTGAGCAATCCGCCCGCCTCGGCCTCCCAGAGTGCTAGGATTACAGGCGTGAGCCACCGCGCCCGGCCTGTAAATGATATTTTTAAGATTTTGATTTGATTGTTTATTGCTAGTATGTAGAAATACAGTGGATTTCTGTATGTTGATTTTTTAGCCTGCAACCTTGCTAAACTCACTTATTAGTTATAGTAGCTTGTTTGGTAGATTCAGTGATATTTCCTACATAGACCAAAGGTTGTCAAGGCTTTTATTTTTCTGACTATTCTGTTACTAAAGATAATAAATTTTAGACCTATGTCAAAGCGGTCTCTGTTGCAGCTAATCAGCTCTGCCATTGCAGTGTGAGAGCAGCCACGGCTAATACACACATCAATGAACACAGCCGCATTCTAGTAAGACTTTATTTACACAAACAAGAAGCTGACCCGCAGGTTGGAGTTTACCCACCCCTCTTATGGGATCATGGCTGTAAATAAAGACAATTCTACTTCTTCTGTCCTACCTGGATGCCTTTTATTTCTTTTTCTTGCCTCACTGCACTGGCTGGAATCTTCAGTACAATGCTGAATTAAAGGAGTAAAAGCAGACATCCCTGTATTGATCTTATGGAGAAAGCATTCAGGTTTTCCCCATGGGATATGTTAGCTGCAGGTTTATTACAGATGCTGTTTTTTATGCTGGAAAAAGTTCCCTTGTATTCTTAGTTTGCTGAGAGTGTTTTTTCATCAGGAATGAGTGTTGAATTTCATCAAATGCATCCAACTACTGAGGTGACTTTATGTTTCTTCTCTTTTAATGTCTAATATGGTAAAGAACAGTGCTTTCTGAATGTTGAACCAACTCTGTGGTCCTGGGATAAGCCCCATTTGTTTATAATGTATTATCCTTTTAATGCATCATTGAATTTGATGTGGTAAACTTGTGTTTAGAATATTTTTAGACTTAATTTTTAGAACAGTTTTAGGTTCACAGCAAAACAAAGAGGAAGATACAGAGATTTTCCATATAGCCCTGCCCTCACTCACAGCCTCCCCCATTATCAATATCCCTCACCGGAGTGGTACACTCGTTCTGATCAATGAACCTACACTGATACATCATAATCACCCAAAGTCCATAGTTTGCATTAGGGTTCACTCTTGTACGTTCTGAGTTTAGACAAAGGTATGGAAATGTCTATCCATCATTATAGTATCATACAAAGTATTTTTCCTGCCCTAAAAATCCTCAGTGCTCCACATATTATCCTTTACTCTCCTTCCCAACTCCTGGCAACCACTTATCTTTTTATTGTTATCCATAGATTTGCCTTTTCCAGAATGTCATATCATGGGAATTATACTGTACGTAGCCTTTTCAGATTGGCTTCTTTCACTTGGTAACATGCATTGAAGGTTTCTTCATGTCTTTTCATGACCTGATAGCTTATTTCTTTTAACACTGAATAATGTTCCATTGTATGGTTGCACCAGAGTTTATTCATTCACGTCACGGGGGATATCTTGGCTGCTTCCATAATGGTTGGATTTTTACAGCCATGCTCATGAGGGAGTTTTGTTTTTTGTAATGTCATTGTCTGGCTTTGATTCAGGTAATGCTGGCATTATAGAATGAGTTGGGATATAGTCATCTTCTTTATTTTGGGGGGAGAGTTTGTGTAGAATTATACTATTTTTTTCCTGGAATGTTTGGTGGAATTCACCAGCATAGGATCTTTTCTTCTCTTTCTGCTATCTTTGGATTAATCAAGTTATTATTTCTAATTTAGGTTTGTATCTTTCTCTTTTTTTTTTTGGCTGACTAGCTATAACTCTTTGTTTTGCTATTTTAGTGGTTGGTTTCGGATTTCTAGTATGTGATTTCGAGTTATCACAGGCTACTTTACTCAAGTAAAAGTATACCACATCATGTACACAATAAGAAAATTATAACAGTATACTTTCATTTTTTTTCTCCCAGCCAGATTATGAACCTGTGGGATTAGTTTTCATTAATTTTAGAAATTTTTGGCCATTTTTGAGCAATTTTTTTTCTGTTTATTTTCCTCCCTCTCTTGGGGTTTATATATTAGCTGCTTGAAATTTTCTCATAGATCACACAAATGTTTCATACTGAAGGATATTTTCTTTTGTGCTGTCTAATCTGTGTATATTTTGATCCAGTATAGTTTTTTATCTCTGACAGTGTCATTTGCATGTGCATAATTGCCATTTCGTTTTTCAAAAATGTCTTCTATGTTTCTACTTGTCTTTTTTAGCTTTATATTGGGATAGAGTTGAGTTACTTTAAGCAGCTTGATTCTTTCTGGTCTTGCTTTTATGATTTGAGCTAATCCCCCACTCCTGAGGTAAGACCTTTTTCGTGAGTCACTGTCATATGAAGTCTGAGTTTTTCCATCCTGGCTCATGGGAATGGGTGCTCTCCCTGCCCTGTGGGAGCACCAGGCAGGGTGTCCTCCAGTTTTTTCAGATGGTTTCTTCTCTTGGTCTCAGGCAGTTTCTTAGCACAAAGGCACTGTTCATCACTCTGCTAAATACTTGAGAGGATCTCTGCAGGTCTCAGGGTTTTGCTCCTCCCCAGGGTCTGTCCTGTGCTCTCTGTCTGTGCTGGTTTTCCAGACTTTCAGCTTCATCACTGCCGCTCAGGGAGTGTGGCAAACTCTACCTCAGTTTTTTCTCCCTGTGTCAAGGCAGGGGACTGGGGCCTTCCTAAGGCTTCTTTCATTGGTTTCCCACCTTTCAGCGATTATTGTTTTCATTGCCTGAAGTCCATTGTCATGAAAATCATTGTGTAATGTATTTTATCTGTATTAGTTTTGGTTGTTTCAGGTAAGAAGGAAAATCAGTACATGTTACTCCACCTTGGCTAGAGGCAGATTGCGTTAGAGCTTCAGCACATGCTGTCAACCGGCTGGAATGCTTTTCTTCCCGCTTTGCTTCACTGCTTTCTTCTCATTCTTCACTTCTCAGTGTAGCCATCTGGTCCTCAAAGAAATCTTCCCTGGGCTGAGTATGGATCAAATTCTCCTGTATGATCATAGAACTCTGTTTTCTTACAGTCTCTATCTGAATTTAAAATTGTCACTTTTTCCATCTGTTCTTCACTACACTTCAAGCTAACCAAGAGCAGAGGTCTTGCCTGTTTCTTCTGTAGAGCTTAGTATTAATATAATGTCTTCCACATTGTATGATACACACACACACACACACACACACACACACATATATCTTCAGTGTATGAATGAGTGAATGTTAAAATACATAGCCCTTTATATCAAAAAAAGTACTCATCTATTTCATTTCTATATTTTTTCTTCCTGATCTAGATTCTGTTAGCTTACTGAAAATTCAGGAGGCATTTCTTTCATGTAAAGGATTATTAGAACGTAAAAGAAATTACTGTGAACAACTTACAAGAAAAATGAAAACAATGGAAAACATAGTTGGTGTCCTACAACAGGAGCTATCTGAAACAAAAGAAGTCAAATCACAGTTAGAGCATCAAAAAGTAGGCTGGGAACAAGAACTCTGCGGTTTGAGGTAAAACATCCTATTTTAACATAGTGTTTGAATTATGTACACTAGACTAAAAACATATAGGAGAATCTTTGTAATTGCTGATTAATTATAACTTAACTTCTGGGGTTTAATGGGGAGAAATCTTCTTAATCTTGTGGTGTGTGAAATTCTTGAAAAAATATTAGTACAACAATTTCTTAACTGTGAATATGTCTACAAATAATTAAATGCATGTTCTTTTTTTTTTTTCCTTTATTTTTTTTTCTTGAGAGAGAGTCTCACTTTGTTGCCCAGGCTAGATGCTGTGGTGTCAGCTTAGCTCACAGCAACCTCAAACTCCTGGGCTCAAGCGATCCTTCTGCCTCAGCCTCTCGAGTAGCTGGGACTACAGGCATGCGCCACCATGTCCGGCTAATTTTTTCTATATATTTTTAGTTGGCCAATTAATTTCTTTCTATTTTTAGTAGAGACAGGGTCTCCCTCTTACTCAGGCTGGTTTCGAACTCCTAACCTTGAGTGATCCTCCCACCTCAGCCTTCCAGAGTGCTAGGATTACAGGCATGAGCCACCATGCCCGGCTGCATGTTCTTTTAAATCATAATTTTCATGGCTATATAGAAGTCTACCATTTAACAATCTCAAATTGAAGTTTGTGGTTTTTAATCTTTGGTATTATAATTAACCTGCAAGTAACATCATATGAATCCTTTTCTACATTTCAAATGATTTACTTTGAATAAATCTTTCAATATAGAATGATTTGATTAAAGTATAGGAATGTATCAAAAAGGTCTTTGATCAATATTTCTACACTGTTTTCAAGAAAGTTTATATTAATTTACAATTCAACCAATACAGTATGAACTGGCCATTTTTCTCAACTCAGAATAGACTCCTTAACCTAGTTTGGATTACAGTAAGGTGCAGATACATGTTGTGTGAAAGACCTCTGAAGGTGCTCTCTTATATTGCAAATCATTTTTAGGGATACCTGCACTATATCATGAAGATGAAAATTTATTTCTAGGGAATTTATAAACTTGTTTATAAACAGTGACTTTTAAATTAGTTAACTCTAAATGATCTGTCCCAGTTGAGGAGGAGTTATGTCTGTGTGAACAAAAAGGTAATTGTCAACCTGTAACATTAGCAAGTAATTTCCACTATCATTTTCTATGATATTTACCAGAATGACTAGTAAGAGGAACTTACCAGTTAGCAGGATGTTTTTGAGACAGAGTCTCACTTTGTTGCTCAGGCTAGAGTGAGTGCTGTGGCGTCAGCCTAGCTCACAGCAACCTCAAACTCCTGGGCTCAAGCGATTCTCCTGCCTCAGCCTCCAGAGTAGCTGGAACTACAAGCATGCACCACCATGCCCGGCTAATTTTTGTATATATTTTTAGTTGGCCAATTAATTTCCTTCCATTTATAGTAGAGACGGGGTCTCGCTCTTGCTCAGGCTGGTTTCGAACTCCTGGCCTTGGGCATTCCGCCCGCCTTGGCCTCCCAGAGTGCTAGGATTACAGGTGTGAGCCACCACGCCCGGCCCAGGATGTTCTTTCATGAATGCCTTTCGAATATATATGTCCTTTGGAAGACAGTAAAGTCAGAAATTAAAAATCTGAGCACTAGAAAGGAAAAATATTGAAGAATATAGAACTTTTATTAGGATAATAAACCAACATATGAAGAGCCAGATCACAAATAAACTTTTCATTTTCTAACAAAACAAGTTTTAAGATAAGTATATTTAACTGCAGATTTACCTTAGAACAAGAAAAAGAAAAGAGGAGAGATGTTGATACAAAATATCAAAAACTGGTGGAAAAATTAAGAAAGAAAAAAGAGCAACACAGGAGCGAAATTAAAATGAAACAGCAGCTTGAACAGACTATGAGAACACAAGATGTGGAACTGAAGAGTCTAAAAAATAACTTGAATGAGGTAAATTAATCTTTGGTAAAAATTTTTTATTTCATCAGTATTAATTATAATATTCCTTTGATTTAATATATGTGTTATTTAGGTCTAAAACAAGCCAAAAATGTTACCTCACCTTAAGAATGGACTATGACATTTATAGTTAAAATTAATTAGTATAAATCTTGGCCTCCAAGTTGTATTTTCTTTCAGTACAAAGGGCTTTTGAAAAGAATGATATACCATAATAATACTTAGTTGATAATTTATTGATAAGTATTTTGTTTCTAGTAAAAATAATTAATTGTATTTCCCCCATTTCACATTTATTACTGTTTCAGACATAAACAGAAAACAAAAGTTACTGCAATAGCAAATAATCTAATAATTTTCTAAGAAGAGTTCTATGGATTTTATCTTATTTATTGTTAGTGTTTTGAAATATAAGAGTTCTTTTATATTTATTTATACCACAGAGGTAACTGATTTGGTGGAGGAGCTCTAGTAGAGGTAGAGTCAGAAGATTTGGGGAAAATCCTGCAGATTACATATATTTTTAACCTCTCCTTTTCAGAACTGTGATAACTAAATGAGTTTACTGATGTAGGTAGAAGCGATTAGTACAATGCCAGATAGATTTATCATTTATCAGTAAATGCAATTCTTATAACTGACTCTGAATATGTTAGAAAAGCAGAATATCTGTAGAATATTCTCCTGAAAGGGGAACATAAAGAACTTAGGGAAATTTCATGTGTCCAAACATATGCAGAGCTTAGGCTCTTACTATGGGGTGGTGAATAGCTTAGATATCAGAATGTAAAGCCAACTTTTTAATGTAGTCAAAGATATTAATCTCTTATGTCTTTGGGTTTGTAGTAATTCAGAGAAAGTTTATTCCAATTCTGAGGTTCTTAGAAATTCTCTACTTTTTTTGTTTGCTTTCATTGTCTTCAAATAAGTTTTTGAATTTTTGTGAATTTATAGTCTGAGGTTTTGATCCAACTTTTTGTCCAGCTAGATATCCATTTATTGCAACCTTTTCATTGTATGACAGTATAAGTTATTCTTTAATTTCACAGAAAATAATGATATGTTATTTTATTCAATGCGAGCTAAAAGAAAGTTTCCTTTGTTTTACTTAGATTTCTCATATTCATGGACAAGAAAAAGAACTATTGCATGAAAATCGCATGTTGCAGAATACAATTACCAGGCTAAGCATGGAAATAGATATGCTAAAAATAGAAAACCAGGAAAAGCAAGATAAATATTTGAAGGACATTGCAGTATTAAAAGAAAAGACTGATGACCTTCAGAAGACTGTGCAAGTGAATCAGGCAAGATTAACAAAAATGATGTCCCAGTACAATGAACAGCTCAATCTTCTGACGGCTGAGAACACAATGCTAAATTCTCAGCTGCAGAATGAAAAACGAAACAAGGAAAGACTGGAAGCAGAGGTTGGATCCTGCTTCCCTAACCTGGCTGCTACTAGAAGCGTTCATGACCAAACTCAGGCATCAAAAAGACACGAAGAGCTTGATTTCCAGAAGGCAAGAGAGAAGTGGCCTGGTGCAGAAGAAAGTTTGAGTTCTTATGTTAATATTCTCTTTCAGAAACTTTCTGAAGCAGAAATGAAATTCTGTAGCCTAGAAATTAAGTTCTATAACACAAAAAATGCTCTCAAACAAAAGACTTTGGATTTAGAAAAAGTGCAAAGAGAACTAAGCGAAACACAGTGTCAAAAGAAGGAAATCGAACTGATGTATAAAAATGAACAACATAAAGTCAATGATTACACTGTGGAGAAGGAATCGCTGGAGGAAAGATTATCTCTACTAGAAAGGAAAAATCTGTTTCTTCAACAACAACTCGAGCATGCTCAGAACACAGCTAATAAGAAAGAAAAGACAATAACTGATATCCAAACCCAATTTCTGGATATTGTAAAAGAACTTCAAGCTGACAGTGAACAGAAAATTCTTCTTCTAGAAGAGAGAAATAAAGACTTATCCAATGAATGCAATCATTTAAAAGAAAGACAATATCAATATGACAAAGAGGAAGCAGAAAGAGGAGTAAGTATCAAGAAAGATAAATATTTTTCCAACTTCCTGAAAGAAAAAGTAAAGTAATATTTGGTTATGGCTAATTGTTGAATCTAGTTGAATATAAAATAGATTGCAAATATATTTAATATAGCAGTTTAGAAACATATCTTGCCTCCAGCAAATAAAAATTAGAACTGAGAAATGCTTTACTTTGAGTAAAGACATTGTGTTACTTACAAAATAGTAAGAGTTTCTTACAAATTGTTAACCAATAAAGACTAATATAAATAATGTCTTATGCTCCTGAAATAATAATGTTAATGTCTTTATGTTGGCACATTTTAAGATGCTGATGAAGCATATAAACAGAAATTCTCATACCTGAAATGAGTATTTTGAAATTAAGATTTAATTAAGTGGGTTACTTTTATGTTTATTTCCAGATTTCCCAGATGAACTGAATTGCCTTGATGTATCTTGTAATACTTTTCCTTCTGTAGCTTTGCTATATTTTAGTTGGTATATTTTATTCTTGTCAATTTGACTTAAAACTGAAGACATGTTAATCTCAAATGGTGTACTTTCATGACCTCTCAATTCTTTAAAGCCATCTAATTTTAACTAAATCATACTTTGGGACAAATGTGGTGAATTTTAGCAAAACCATATTTTATTTAATATTCCCAGTAATATTTATATTTAACAATTTATTTTGAATATTTTAGAAATAATTTGCTCATAAGTTTTTGTTTCAAGGCTCAATGGCCTTGAAACTTGGATATAGTAGATATAACTTCGACCATGACAAGATAATTGCAACTATCTGTGACTTACTAGTTTGGCATTGGGTCCTCATCTTCAGAATGGTGAGGGGTGGCAGGATTCACATGTAGCAGGAATGCCGTGAGTAGGGGAGAGAGTTGTAGGAGCTGAAGTCAGGGAGGGAAGTAGAAGCCAGGTTGCCTAGGGCTTTGAAGACCATTAGAATTTTAACTTTATTCTGAGATAGCAATCTAGCAAAGAATCTTAATAAAAGGAGGAAAAGCATTTCACAGTATAGAATTTACCCCCACTAGTCACACCCACATATTTATTTCTTTATGAGACTTCAGTAGGTTGCTAAGCATTTCATATTCATCTGGGGACAACTCAGCGAACTGAATCTCTTGTCTAAGTAACAGAATACCAATTTAGCAAGAAGATAACACCTTTAGTATCCTTAACTGACTTAACTGATGAACAGGGATGTGTACCCACAAGGAAAAGAAGGTGAATTGTTGTATGTGGTGATATTTTTCCAAAGCATATACTTGAAAGTTAAATATTATTAATATAATTTAATAGGAAGGTGAATTATAACATCAGTAACAAAAATACCTTATTAGGTTGCTGCGAGACAACTTCAGAAACAACTGGCTGGTACGCTACAAAAGCTCTCCAGGGCAGAGACCTCCCTGGGGATTACAGCGTGTCACACGTTCCTTTAAAAGACAAAGCATAAGTTTCAAAGAAGAAATTTGATGAAATCACAAAAAAAGTACGTATGAAATTTAACATGTCAGCAGTTCATCTATAGCTGGTTCAATAATGTAAAGTGTTTTAGGATACTAGTTTCAGTGAACAGCTTTCTTTTGTATTTTCATTATAAGTAATTTTATTAACATTTTATTATCTTTCCAGTGCACTTATTTCTTAAACTCTGAGGTTCACCCTGCCTCTTTTAGTAATCACATATATATCTTTCCTTATAATAGATAGCTTTAGGAAAGTTGAGAACTATACATTATTCCTCACAGAATTTGAGAGACTGTTTTCCTGTTAAATAGTATTTATTTTACTGATTTCTCTATTGCCATAGTGAGGCAAGCCAGATTAAATCAGAAAATAATATTTTTGGCACTCTAGCCCAGGCAACAGAGTGAGACTCTTATCTCAAAACAACAACAACAACAACCCAGAATGTTTAAGGGAATGCTCCAAAAAAATTGTTGTATTTCTTATCTTCACTTTTGTGAATGGAAACGGAATCTCTGTATACTTATTCCATGCATTTCAGGTTAACTTGTACAGAAAAGCCATTATACAGTTCTCCAAAATGCAACTTTTTTGGTTAATACTTTTTATGTCTATAAATTTGCCTGATCTGGACATTTTATATAACTATAGAGCCAAAAGAAATGTACCCCAGTTTTTTTTTTTTTTTTTTTTTGACTGGCTTTCTACACTTACTGCGTTTTTATGGTTCACCTGTATTGTAGCTCGAATCAGTGTTTTATTTCTTTGTATTGCCAAATAAGATTCTATTGTTTGGCTATACCAGTTATCAGTTCCTCAGTCGATAGACCTTTAGGTCATTTCCACAATTTGGTTATTATGAATAATGCTGCTGTGAACATTCATTTACAAGTTGTTGTGTGGACACATGCTCTTATTTCTGTGCCACTGGATTTTACTGTCAGAGTTAATTGGGCAGTTCCACCATCTCTCTGCCTTCCTCATGCCGTCCTCTCTGCCTTATCAGTTTCTGATCATCTAGCCTCATTCATTCAGACCCGGTGCCCAATTTCCACTTCTTCAGGAAGCTTCTCTGACTGTTCTGACTCTCATTTACCTTACGCTTCAGCAGTTATTGTGTAGTCTATGAAGAACGATTTAGCCCTTAATTTTACATTGCTTTTATAATTTTTTCATGAGAGTTCAATCTTGTCTAATTATAATTTTGCCTAAGGAGGAACTAATGTCTGATATGCATGCCATTTATTCTTGTATAAATTTAAAATATTTTAGTTTAACAGTGGTTAGGATAAAATTAAATACTTTATACAATAATAATAATTTCTTCTTTGAGGCATTGACATATTAAAGCTTTTGTTCTAAATGTATTTTAAGCAATTAAATATAAAATTGAAACTACTTTGCCTTACAGAAGAGAATTGTTCAAAGAAATGCTCATGTTTTTCTCACTGTGAAAAAAACAATCTAAATTGCCTTCCTCCATTATGTAGCCAGAGCTGGGATTTATACCCTGATGCCTCTTTACCAACTGAAACGCTCTAGCTACATGTAAGATTTCTAAAGAGTAGGTCTCTTTTGAGATTCTCTTTGGATTTTTTTTTTTTTGAACTTTGATCATATTGCTTTAGCTTCTTACAAATTTCTTTTTTTAAAAATATTTATTTATTTATTTTATTTTGGCATATTATGGGGGTACAGATTTTAAGGTTTCAATAATGCCCATTCCCCCTCCACCCCACAAGTCTGAGTCTCCAGCATGACCGATCCCCCAGATGTTGCACCATCTCATTATTATGTATGTATTATTACCTGCCCCCCTCCCTCCCACCTGCCCAATACCCTATTACTGTAGTACCTATGTGTCCACTTAGGTGCTGCTCAGTTAATACCAGTTTGCTGGTGAGTATATGTGGTGCTTGTTTTCCATTCTTGCGGAAACTTCACTTAGTAGTATGGGGTTCCAGCTCTAACCAGGAAAATATAAGATGTGCTATATCACCGTTGTTTCTTAAGAAGCTGAATAGTACTCCGGTATGTTACATATACCACATTTTTTAATCCATTCTTGGATTGATGGGCACTTGGGCTGTTTCCACAGCCTTGCAATTATGAATTGTGCTGCTATAAACATTCGAGTGTAGGAGTCTTTTTTTGTAGAGTTGTCACGGGGTCTTTTGGGTAGATGCCCAGCAATGGATTGCTGATCAATGCGTAGATTCCACTTGTAATTGCGCGTTTAAGGTAATCTCCATATTGCTTTCCACAGAGGTTGCGTAACTAGTTTGCATTTCCCACCAGCAGTGTAGAGTTGTTCTCTCTTCTCTCCGCAAACCAAACGCCAGCATTTATTGTTGGAGAACTTTTTTATAAAGGCCATCTCACTGCGCATTAAGTGATAAATCTTATTGTGGTTTTGATTTGGCATTTTCCCTGATGATTAGAGATGTTGCAGCATGTTTTTCATATGTGCTATTGCATTCTTATCGTCTTCTTAGGAAAAGGTTTCTGTTTCACAAGTCCTTTGCCCACTTTTTAATAGGCGTTATTTGATCTTTTCTTGCTGAATTTTTGGTGATGTTCTAAGTATTATTCTTAGATTATCAGCCCCTTATCAGATGGGATATAAGATGCAAAAAATTTATCTCCCATTCTGCTAGGGTTGTCTGTTTACTTTCATGACTGTTTCTTTGCGCTGTGCAGAAGCTTTGTAGTTTGATCATGTCCCCATTATTATTTTTTGTTGGCTGCTGTAATTGCCTTGGACTTCTTCATAAACTCTTTGCCTAGCGCTGCTGTCTAGGGAGAGTGTTTCCAACATCTTTCCTTCTAGGAAATTCTAAATTAGTTCATACTTACGTTTAAAGTCTGTTAATCCAAACGTGAGTTCGATTTCTTATGCAGAGGTGAAGGTGTGGGTTCCTTGCTTAAAGCCTTCTACAAGTGGCTTCCAGTTTCCTCAGGCACCATTTATGAAAAAGGGATTCTTTTCCCCAGTGTATGCTTTTGGTTTCTGCTTTGTCAAAGATGTAGATGGTATATGACGGATGGGTTTATATCAGGAATTCTTTCAGATCTGTTCCACTGGTCCAAATATTCCTATTTTGTGCCAATACCAGGTTGATTATATACTACACGCTTTGAAGTATAGTTTGATATCTGGCCCATTAATTAATAAACCTCCATTTTGTTTTGCTTGCCCTAGAATGGCCTTGATATTCAGGGTCTCTTTGGTTCAATACAAGCGTAAAATTAATTTTTTGGTATATCTGGTGAAGAAATGGCTGATGGGATTTTAATCAGGTATTGCATTGAATCTGTAGATCAGTTTGCTGTAGTATAGACACTTTAATGGATGTTGAGTTCTTGGCGAATTTCCAAACGAAAGCATGGTATGGATTTCCATCTGTTTACGATCCTCTGGTATTTCCTTCCTCAGTGTTTCATACTTCTCCCTGTTAGAGCCGTCTTTTACCTTCCCTTGGGTTAAGTATATTATTCCTAGCGTACTTTTAAGTTTCTTGTTGCTTGCTATTGTGAAGGAATTGAGTCTTTGATTTTGGTTTCTCCAATTAGATTGATTGTTGGCGTATATGAATGCCTTCTATTTTCTGTGTATTAGATTTTGTATCCTAGACTTTACCATAAATTTATGTTTATCAGTTCCAGATATTCTTGGTGGTCTTTGGCGGTTTTTTCCTAAAATTATATAATTTAAATAATCAGTATCAATCAGCAAAAACAGCTGAAAGTTGATTCTCTTCTGCCCTGTATTTGGATACCTTTAATTCCCACTTTCCTTGTTGTCTGATTGGCCCGTAAGCCAGGACTTCCATGCCACTATGTGAAATAGAAGTGGATGATAGTGGCACCCCTTGTTCTGGTTCCTGCTTCTAATGTGGAATGCTTTCGAATGGCTTTTCCCCATTTCAGTATGGTTGGCTGAATGGGTCTGTCAAGTATGATGGCCGTTGTTTATCAGTTTTAGGGTATGTTCCTGTCTATGCCTATTTTATTTAAGTGTTGCGTGAGCATGCAGGGAAGGCGGCTTGAATTTTGTCGAAAAAGCTTTTTCTGCAAATCTATTTGAAGGAAATTCATGCTGGGTCTTTGGTGTTTGTTTCGGCTTCTGTTTTATGGGTTGATGGCATTTATAGATTTCACGTATGATTGCAACCATCGCCTGCATCCTGGCAATGAAAGGCCCAACTTCCATGGCGTCGTGATGATACCTTTTGATTAGCGGTCTTGATATATTTTGGGTTAGCTTAATGAATTTGTTAAATTTGTTGCCATCTATTAATTTCATAAGCGGATATTCTGTCTGTAGTTTTCTTTTTGTTCACCTTTCCTGGTTTTCGTATCAGTGTAATTATTCGCTTCATAAAAGAGTGTGTCGAGTCGATGGTTCCCGTTCTTTCTCGATGGTTGTGGAATAGTTTCTGCCAAGATTAGGGTTACTAGTTCTCCTTGTTATAGTTGTAGGTAAAATTCGAGTGGTTGAACCATCTGGAACCGCGACTTTTCTTTTTAGGGCAGATTTTTTAATTGCTGTTCTATTTCAGCTTGTTGAGATTGTTCTGTTCAGCGAATCATATTTCTTCCTGGTGGCCTAGGAGGCTATGTTTCTAGAGAAAGATTTGTCCCAATTTCCTCACATTTTTTCCAGTTTTGTGTGCATAAGATTTTTGTAGTATTCATAAATTATATCTTTATCTCTTTGGGAATAATCGTGTGATACTCCTTTTTTTGTTGTCTCTGAATGGAAGCTATTAGAAGATTTCTCTATTTCTCTTTTGTTAGGCTAGCAATGGCGTGCCAACTTTGTTTATTTTCAAAAAGAACAAAACTTTTTGTTTAATTAAGTTCTCCTGAATTGCCTTTCCTGTTTTCAATAATTCGTTTATTTTTGTTCTGATTTGACTTGTTTTTCAACTTCTTCTCGCTGGGTTGGGGGTTGACTGTTCTTTCTTTTCGGCTCTTTGAGTCGTTTCATGAGGATTGTTTATTGTGTGATCTTTTGAC